GGGGGGCGGCGCGGCCGCCCCTTTTTCGGTCCCCCCGTCCCCCCCCCCCCCCTTCCAGCTTCTCATGGGAGTGGATTCAGCGCATCTAACATCGTCATTTTCAATGGGGACCATCACGTTACAAGGCCCGCAGGCTACGGCACAGTTTAAGGCAATCAGCACAATGAGGCCAGGGATTAACCGACAGAGAACACGCTGGAATTCCCATCAGAGAGGCAAACCCCCCCCCCCCCCCCCCAACTGGGATTTAGTGCGTGGCCTGACCCCTCCTACTATGCTCTCCCCCTGCTGCTCCCACTTCTCTGCAGGACTCAGAGAGGCTTTTTTCTAATTTTGATCAGAGGGGGGCAAATGGTTTCTGCATTGGAGGATCAAACAAAATTCAAGCTTACGAGTGGTTTGGGCGCTCTCAGCGGGCGATCAGCGGGGATCAGCGGGCGATCAGTGGGCCATCAGCGGGCGATCAGTGGGCGATCAGCGGGTGATCAGCGGGGATCAGCGGGCGATCAGCGGGGATCAGCAGGCCATCAGCGGGGATCAGCGGGCCATCAGCGGGCGATCAGCGGGGATCAACGGGTGATCAGCGGGGATCAGCGGACCATCAGCGAGGATCAGCGGGCCATCAGTGGGCGATCTGCGGGATTCAGCGGGTGATCATTGGGCCATCAGCGGACCATCGGCGGTACCAATAAAGGGCACGTGCAGTGATTCAGGTCGGATGCTAAGTCTACACCGGGATGCGTGCACCGTATATCAGAGATCCTGACATGCCCAGTATTACCCACATGCTTCGAAGCGAACATCCACCACTGCTCTCGTCTCTGCTGATGGACCAGGCAGCCTGGAGATTTACCATTGACCAATCAGAAGCTGTCCTGGATTCCGTCAGTCTGCAGCCTTTTGGTTTTTAGATAGAAATATATATACATATATATTTTAATTACCCCCCACATGTGTGTCTTCATTTAGTTTACACTGAGGCCCCCGTCCAGGTCTTTTTTCACCTCGTCGGTCCCCTCTGTGTTCCAAAGTGCTCCCTCCCCCTCCCTCCTCAGTCAGAACCAGGCCGCCGAAGCCCCCCGCCCTCTGAAGAGGGCCATCGCGTCATCGCCAAAGCCCGTGACATTTTCTCCCAGGCGTAGAGAAAGCAGTCCCTGTACCAGCCTGAAAGACAGCAGCTGGAATCTCTCAGAACCGGCGTTCTTCGGCGCGGATGAGGGCCTGTATCGCCACAGGCAGAACAACAAACGGCATACGGCCTTTTCTGTTCTTTCGGAAAGATATACTAGCCGACCCGACCACACCATACGAAGAGGAACGTGAGGGGCAGTTAAAAAGCATGTTTATGAACGCCTTTGTCTGAGATGCTGCCAAACACAGATGCACATTCTCCTACTAGACTTCAAAATGTAACACTGCAACATAGTCTGCTCAAAAGTGCAAAATATTACTCTTTGATATTTTGACGTGTTTCTATGACATGAGACTGGCCTTCCCTCTTTTTCTGAATACACACAAGAAAAGCATTTAATTAGTGTCTTTGAACGAAAAGCTCAGAATGTTGCAGTCCACAACAAGGTCAGCGTCCGTCGACATCCATTGATATTGCGATATTGAGTTCTTGTTCGTGTGCAAAACCTTTGGAAACCACGTGGCTCATAAATGAGATAACTGCAGTGCATTCTGGGACGCCGGCCAAGCTCAATAAGCTGTTACAGACGGGCTTTTTTTTTTCTCCCACAGAAAGCTGTCAGACTTGGGGTGCATCCGCCAAAGGTTACCTAATGTTTTTTTCGCCACCGTCGTTCCACTTTTCCATATTTTTTGGGATGGCTGAGTATGAAGTGACATACAGACGTTTTACCCTGTGGGCTTGTGAAGCTGTATAACTCACACAACAAGTTTTTCCACAAAATTCTTCAACAGGGTTTTTTTTTCTTCTTCTTTAATGAGGTCACTTTAATTATTAAAATCAAATTAAATTTGGCCTTAATATAAGAGTCTGGCTAATGCAGATTCAGAGTGCAGCTGTCTTCACCGAGATCATTTCCGCATTACAGAACAATAACAGGCTGAAGGGACTTATTTACACTACTGGTAGATTGCTGGGCATCAGGAACGCAAGGCACTTAAGTTTACAAACACTGACCGATCCCAGACATACGATAGTGGGTCTCATTGCACTAAAAAACAGCTTTTGTGCTCGACTCGGTAAAGGTTTTCAATTGCGTTACTAATTTTTTTACTTTGTGTTTTTTTATGCTGGCTATCTTTTTATGTGTTTGAAGCCACGCCCATATCTCTTAATACCTTCTTTATCCATTTTGGCCTCACTGAGCATGCACAAAGAGACCGGGAGGGATGTGGGTGGGTGGAATGGGGTTAAAGATCTTAAAATGGTAATACTATTATTAATAATGTCATTATTTCATCATGGTTTGAATGCTAAACAAAAATAGCTTACTATAAATATGAATTCTGTATATTAGCACAGGAACTTTCTGGGTATTAGGTGGGGGGCGGGGGGTGTCAGATGGGCAAGGGGAGGTTGATTTTTACGAATCATGTAAAGCTAATGGTTTCTCAGCGTAAGGCAAACAAAATATTAAATGAAACTGTGGACTGAAGGGAATGGAAGGACCACCTTGGCGTAATTATAAAAATCCCCACTGGGGGGGCGATGTTGACATGTTAAAAAAAAAAAATAGCAACCTGAATGGATGCGTTTCTCATGACTGACATGAGAGACAAACAAAAGTCGGTACTTTTTTTTAATCAACAAGGACAGATAAGTTCACTAGCCTGAGAAACCAAACTTTTTTTCCCGTTTAAAATTCTCTAATACTTGCTGCTTAGACTATTTCATATAAATACTGGGATATTTGATTTTTAAATTATTTATTTGATTAATTTATTTGACTTGGTTTATTTATTCTATTTATTAATTTATCTATTACCTATGTACTGATTTATTTTAATTTCTCTTGAAAAAAAGTATGTATCAAAATAAGAAATGCTTATTGGGGCTTTTCTCTTTCTCCTCTTATTTTCACTTTTACAATAAAAATTCAAACTGGATATTTACTTCTCAAACACGTCTGTTTAATGCTGAGACAAGTGGCGGCAGAATTGGGGCCGATGTTACAGTAGGATCCAGTGCTCTCTAGTCCACACGGTGTTGGACGATCACTCCATACAAGACCCAACCCCGCCGTTTGACATCAGTCACACTTTGGGTAAAATATCACCTAGCTTTTCAGTTGTGAATAATTTGCTGTTTGTGCCATTTTCAGGTCAGCGGCTCATTTTTCAGGCAGGAGCCAGAGGGGGTGATTCTTTCTATCCAAGTAATGAATTTAGCCAATCAATTGAATGCTGGGATACGGAGACGCCCGCAGACCCTGCAGTCATCCGAGGGTTTGATTAGACAATTCGAGTCTAGGTCATCAAATCATGTCTCGCATGAAGATATCCTAAAAGTGCAGAGCTGATAACAAGCTGACAGGCAGGGTGGGGCGGTCGGTCGCTCCTCCATGCCTTTCCGTCTCCGGTCAGGGATCCGGAGTTGGGAATCCTGGGGCCTATTCTAGGAAACACAGGGAAAGATGACAGGGGCAACTTCAGATTGCTGTCAGGGAAGGGGCATGGGGGAGGGCAACAGCTAAAATGGGGGGGAGGGGGGGTCTTTCTTTGTCGTTCATAAAATGAAGAAGAAAAACATACAGTATTTTCTTAAATTACACAATAATTGTTGTCTTGTTGTTCATTTGTTTATCCGATAAAATATGTTCAGCTAATTTCGTCAGTTCTTTGACTGAAAAGAAAACATGACAGTTTTTGCTTCTTAATTTGGTTTTATTTTTCCAATACATTCTGTACTCTTTCATTAATAGGCATTCAGCACAGTGGTCATAATATAGATCAGTGCCATTAGATGAGCCAATGAAAATGCAGGAAAACCTGGAGGGCCAATCAGAACATCAGTGGGGTGGTGCCACCATGGGTCTTCCCATTGGCTCCTGTTTTTCATAAGGACACAGAAATTAAACACAGAAACTCCCACCCCCCACCCCATGCGCGCACAGACGCACACACACACACACACCACAGGGCAAGATTCAAACCCACGACCCTCAAGTGCCACACATTAAACTACCCAATCACTTTATTTCAGGGGTAGGTAATCATCCAGGAAGGACTGTCGTGTAGATTACTAATTAGAGGACTGATTGGCTGAAGAGTCCTCACACCTGGGTTTGAACAGCTGACCTAAAGGTTATCCCAAAGACCTGCATACACATCAGCCCTTTGAGGATAGATTGGCCACCTCTGCTTTGTTTGGTAGCATTTCACTTTGCATTTTAGAGAAAAAAATCTTAAATGTAGCCCACTGTTGATGATTGTCACGCATTCTTTACAACCTGCCCATTCAGACATAATGGCCTTCTATTTAATATACAATATATGCAATATAAGCATTAACAGCTTGCTGTTCTTAATGAATATGAAAGGGAAGCTTGCAAAAGCGCTATAGGGAAAGCAGGCAAAGAGCGACAGGCCTTGGTGTGACATTTAAGAGTATCGGAATCTAAATAGCATTTTCCTTCTAAAATATTCTAACTTTATCAACAAGCCTGCAAAAATGTCGATTTAGACTGAGGTGGTGATTTGATGTCTACATCACAGGATGGCAAACTTTAATTGCTATTTATATTTACGCAGAGCATAAGACCCGGAACACCAGCCCTTCGCAGGGCAGGACACAGATACACAGTCATGCATTAAGAAGGATTTAAGAGCAAAACCCAGAGGAAAGTGGAAAGGGGATGCAAACAATCTCCGTATGGAGAGCTATGAATGTGATACGCTGGGGGACCTGCTAGGTACCACTGGCCCTTGAGGCCGTTGGCTCTGCACGTTATGACTCTCTGCCGGTGATCAGAAGGTTGCTAGTTCAAATCCCATGGTTGGCAGAGTAATTCCACTGTTGGGCCTTTGTGCAAGACTGTTAAACCCATTTGCTCCAGAGACTGGTAAATAAAAACATCCATCCATCTTCAAACCATTTATCTGGTACTGGGTCATGAGGGGCCCAGAGCCTACTGCTGGGGAAGACACTGGATGGGATGTGCAACCACTGGACACTGGCCAGTTTAGAGACGCCAGGTTGCCTACTTCCATATCTTGGATTTCAGGAGGAATCCTGTGACTACGGGAGAACGTGCACAGAGCAGAGGTGGGACCCAAAAGCATGACATGGCAATGCTATCCAGCCATCGTGAGCTTGGTGTGCAGATTATAGGCATCTCTAGATGGGTATCGCTTTCATAAACGGACACACATTTCAGGCGATAAAATCTCACACAGGTGGAAAATGTTTATGAACATCCATTTGGAAAAAGAGCACTTAGGGGCGTTTCTGACATCAACGCAGTTGATACGCTTGCTAGTTAATGTTCAATAAACACATTTATAAAATGACATAATTAACAGCAGCTGCAGTAAATTATGCTAACCAATTACCCTTAGACAGAAATTACATTCATGAAACTGTAGGTCGTAACTTTAAATAAAGTCCAAAACTTACAAAAACCATTTAGAAGAACAGAGAAAAGACCAAGAAAAAGTAGAACCATTGGCTCATGAAATAAATTGGCCCAATTACAATAAAGTGTGGCTCTTGGTCGGAGAGCAAGCCCAGCAGTTCATCTTTATTACAATCAGTTAATGAAAATCAATCCCCCTTCTGATAAACTCTTATCTGCACGGCCTATGTGCACCCCCCTGCACAGGGATGTAATAAATTAGGGTAATATTTCCTTTAATGAGGGAGTGAATTGCAAATTATTGTAACTTTCCAAGATTTATGATGCAGATGCTTAATTTCCGAGCAGATTTTTTTTTCCTTTTTTTTCCCCTGGCTTCGGGGATCGGCGACGTCGTTTGTTCAAAGTTTGGCGACGCCGCCTCATAAAGGGGAGATATACCGCCCAGTCTTCGCGGAAGCGCGGTGGAGCGCGTCCCCGTACGACGGGAGGCGAACTGTGCGTTTTGTCCGAGAACCTGGACCCGGGACAAAATCAGCCTTATCGGGGGCCGTTCAAGGAAATATTCAGCCGTGATTGCATCAGCTAGGGACCTCCAGATATGCAGTAGGTGAAGGAGATCGCTAGGCGATGGAGTGATGTAACACAAAAGGCGCTGGTTATGTTAATTTTATCACTCTGATCAGATATCGATCAGACTCACCCATAGTGCTTGACAATGTGCTGTTTTTAATTTAATCCTATTTCAGGTTATTGACTGTATTTTCTTGACAACGTGGTCCGATGCCCATATGACATCAGAATCCCTGGGAAAGGAGTTATGGAGCAGGGCTTGAAGTGTCAGAATTCAGCTCAGTGCGGACCACAAATGTCATAATAAAGTCTAACTACCTCAGGACACCCCAGTCTTTAAGCATGTCATACATATAATTGTATTGCAGGCCATGGCGAACACCATCACATATCAGAATGCTGCTTCGTATGATTAACGCGATTACTATTATCTACACAGTAAACAAAAACAGAAGGCTTGGCACGAGTAAGCGCGTAACTCCTACCTCCGTTCTAAGCTTACAATTGTACCTAAGTTACCTTTGATTTTAAGCTGCCAATTAGGCCTTCGTTGGGACTTCGAAACTGGCCACACTGCCGCCTTTTTCGCAGGCAAAATAATGGATCTCGTAACCCATGACACAGAGCCGTAAAAAGGTTGACGCCGGGAGACAGAAATTAAAATCTGTGCATAAAATTCCCAGTGACAGCTTGGCTCTTGCAATCTGACACAGCGACGACGCTCAGGTAGGCGGAAATTGCAGCAGAGACCTTCAAATTGTCAGGCACGAAGTAAACTGACAACAAAAACTGTGGCAAAGTTTTTTTTTTTTCTCAAACTGCAGGGAAGGAAAATCTGGAGGCCGCGGGTCAAGAGAATTGTCTAACAAACAAAACCACTCTAATTACAGACGGCAAAGAGGAGAGATGTGAGGAAGCTGCGGAATTAACCCAGACTTTCATCCGCATGCTCATCCTGATTAATTCTCCGTTACATGTTACCCCCGATTTCTTGTATTACGTGTCAGATTCGGAAGTTGTCCGATTGGATCACTGGGGCCGCTGACATTGAGCTCCAAATAATGTATTCTTTTGCATATATTAAAAGTATCAAAAAGTTAATCGCGTCTGCTTTAAACAACTTATTGAGACCTCCTGACATCTCTTTCATGCTGTCGTCACTTCTGCATATTGCTTCTTTACGCTAGGCAGTGTGGTGGGCTAATCGGACTCCGCAAAGCACACTCGCCCCAGAACTTTCTCATGCATCGTTGTTGGCCTGTATCGTCAGATGGCAGAGGGCCTGCTCACTTCAGCCCATAATTTGCAAATTCCGTCATTAAATTATGACTATACCGCAATATTTACAATTGCAGTACATGGGTGGGGGGGTTGACCTCACAGGAGAAATCCTGCTAACAGTGTATACAGGGTTCAAGGAGACACGTAGTCGGGTAGTAAAATTACGAGTTTTAACCCGCCCCCCGCTATTTACTCCCGCCCCCAGGTTGGCAAAGCACATCAGTGACACCCCTACTATGGGTTACCAGACCGCTCCACCCAGTCTAAACCCCCCGCCAGGAAAATGTATTGAGTATTTAGCATTGATACTATGTAGCCTATATTATCTTAAAGGCAGAGAATAGCTGGATACTGTTGTTTGCTCTCACCATTTTCAAGGATGAAATAAATTGTCATAATAGAAGAAAGCTCTAACAAAGAGAGATTGTGTCCTTTATAATGTGGCCTTACTTCCAGTGTCACTGAAAAACACAGCCATTAGAACACAGGCAAATAAAAAGGAAAACTCTGTCAACTCTTAAGGAGGATTGAAAGCGCGAAGGCTCAGTGCTGATTCAAGTGATCAAACCTTGTTTGCAAGTCATGGGTCTCGCGGCTGTTTGAAATCCGTGCAGCCGGACAGCCACATGCCTCCGCGTCTTAATGACAGCGTCCGTAACTAAACTGAAATTACATTTAGTCTTTTACCTTGTTGATTTTTGTTTTGTCCTCCTGCGGACCAAGAGAAGGTACGTGCAAATATCTAGATGTTTAAACATGATGCAGTAATACGCTAAATAACTCTGTCAGCTGTGTTTATAGAATCTACATTTATAATGGTTTGTTACTCTGCTTAAATCTAACTCGGTGGATTGATTGACAGTTTACCATATCTCATTACCGTATGGCCAATTCTGAGACTAACAATGCATTTAGTTTCCGTAAATTCTATTAACATAAAAACAGTTCAGCAAAAGCTATTTGCAAGTCATTACCCAAAGGGCATTGTGTATATAGTTGCATTTTGGATTACATTTGGGGCTCAGAAGTTCATTTAGAACATCGCCCATGAGGGAAGTGTTTAAAAGCCGACGGTCTTGTCACTTGTGTGCTTATAAATAAGAGAGGTCGCTGATTGACTCGGTGACAGCCGTACACCGCATCCCTCCACCTCCGTCACCTCCCCAGCACCTCCCCTTTCTTGATTTCCTGCAGCTGGGCTCCGGCACCCATGCAGTCGCTCAGAAGACGGAAGACGGAAACGCGCACAAGCGCGCGCAACAAAAGTTTAATAACTTCTAACAACTGATTTGCATTTTCAAAAGCTGACCCAGAATATGTGATGTGACACAAAATAAACAGATAAACAGATGAAAGAATTTATCTCTGTGGTTAGCCTGCTCGCTCGCCATCTGTGTCGGTAGCATAAATATGCCAGTTTAATGCATCAGTGTGCCTGGCTGTAAATAAGCCCGTCTTCGTGTCACGACTTAACGCGATGACTTTGCGAGGCCGAGGGGAAACAGCAGAGTCCGCGGCCCCGGCAGGACGCGTCTGTCCGCCGCCTGCAAGCTGCTGATCCACCGACGCCTTTGCTTTGCCGTTTATTCATGGCGAAGCCACCGATTTCTCAGCAGGGGCGGCCATGGACGCCTTTCCAGAGCTCACATCCATCCACTCAACCCCGTTTATAAAATAATTAAGACTGAGACAGACATGCAATTAGGGAAGGATACACTGTAAGATCTCTTTCTTTCATTATCTACTCCGTCATCATCAGGTTCATTTCAAACACTGTGAGCACCGTTTAGTCTGGTGTGTTTGCGTCAGTGAGATAAAAAATATTTCTGTTTTATCTGGCATTATAAGGATATTATTATAAACACCATGACTAGATGCGGCGGCACACTGAGTTTTGTTAAAAGCTGTTGATTTTGCAGCTAACACGATACGAATAGCAAACTGTTACATTAATTGCTGAGACTTTTGACTTCATCCAGCCTAAGTAAGCTTAACCAAACCAGCTAAAACAGATCGAGCGGCATCCTAAAAATTCTAAACCCATTAAGATGTTAAATAAAAAGAACAAATTTAAATTTGAAAACTTTCCTTATACTTATTTGATTGCTGCCCCCCCCCATATCCCGAGTTTAAGAGGCAATCATTCAAGTAGCGGTAAAGGACTAATCTATGTATTAAACGCAGCCTACTTAAGCCGATCATTTACGTTGGTCGGGAACTTGGTGTTTTATCGACAAGGGGGAGTGAGGGTGCTTTTATTGTGTCGAATTAAAGTTACCAGCCTAAATGGCAGGCGCCATAAAGCCGGTAAAGTCAAAGAAACGGATTATAATTAAGCGGGAGCGACGGCCCCCCACCCCCGAAGGAGATGGCTAGTGGGGGGATTTACCTCCGAAGCGCATTACCGTCCCCTTCTTCCCCACAGCGATATAAAACAATCAGAAATAACTGAGACCAAGCACCGCCCCATCATAAGATTTAAGGCACCTGGCATACGCTAAGCATGTAATGATAAATGCGGACGAAAGTGCGGCCCCCACCTCGGAAGGGGGAGGGGAAATTAAAGCCTTACTTAGCAAAAATAAATAAAGCCCATGCATGCAATGTCACCGAAGCTTCACCACAAACGACGTTTGTTTATGAATTGTGCATCTGCCCTGCGCTGTCCCGCTTTTATTTATTGGTATTAAAAAAATACTGTTACATCGCCGGGCGAATCTCGTTTGAAGGTGCAGGCGCTGGCAGGACCCGACAGGCCGGGCAGCTCCGCTCCGCAGGCGGCCGCAGTTGACATTTACACTGGGATGCACGAATATGGGCAAGCGGCACCCACCGCACGCCGCTCCAATTCAGGATTACACATGGGAAAGCTGTACCTGTTATAGGGAAGCGGCCCGAAAAGTATTTTATTTGTACTAAAAGGAATTATTACATCAGTGTGTATATATGGCTAATATATACATAGGCCTATATAACACTGGAGAGAAACGACCGGCTGCTCTCTGCCAAATTTCACAGCGGTTTTTGATGAATGCCTCACAGAACCTACAGTAATTCAACACAAACTGCACATTTAAGAACCGCTAATATCACCTTATATGCTAATAATTAAGGTACATTGCAGGATGGACTTCATGAGGCCAGTAAACGCTAAATTTGTATATGGGGAAGAATTTCTGCAGGACACATCCTTAATGCTATTTAAGGTTATTTATTTTACGCAGTGAACAAGAGCCAGTTTTCTATAGAATATTGTAGGGCATCGCAAATAACGGGAAATAATAAGCCAGTTATTTGTATATGAATTCATTATGAAGCGTCAGCATGTGAACACCCTACCAGAAGAACAAGCACTATCAATACGTCATTTCCTGTCAATCTGTGCGACTGAGTCCCCATCTGGGCAGAAATTTTGTATAATAGTTGTGGTGCATAAATCCCTGCGGTTAATTCCATTACACAGAACGGATCAATACCCCTTATTGCTCGATACACCTTAATTACTTTCATTACATTTCACTCTATTCTGGAAATTCATGAAGTTGAACATGCACAGAGACAAGCATTAAATAACTAAAACCTTGAATGGAAACTGCTGCTCAATCTGCGCTTTATTTTAGCACGTTTTTCAAAATTATCCTTTTTTTTTTTAGATATGAACAAATCTTTTCATTAGTTTATTGTGCAGGTAATGGTCTGTAAATAACAAAACAGAGCTGAACCCAAACAGCCTTTGAAGACAGTGCTTAGCCACAGGATAAATGCCATAGCAATTAGGCTGTGTTTAAATGCATATGGATCCTGTCCGCCTTCACTTTAAATGTCAGTTTGTCCCCAAATAAGCTGTAAGCAACGGCAAGCTAACAAGTGCTACAATATGAGTTCACTTCCACAAGGTGCACAGTGGCTGTCAAGTGACCAAGGCAGGACCGTTGCCTGATGTTGCATCATCTCGCGTCCTGTGAGTCTGAAGGATAGGAGCAATTAATTCCCATCCCAGAGGATCAGAAAATGAATCGGAAAGTTCTTCAATACGGCACGAAAGGAATTTTGAGGAACGCATTTTCCTGAGATAACTCAATACAAACCCAGACCCTGGACTGAAGGATGTTTATTCAGCTAAAGCGAGTAATTGCCCAAGTCATTTTTCAAGAGGTGTAAAACTCAAATTTAATTGGATTCCAATGCCAGTCCTGTAAGTACAAGGTCCAGGTCCAATTACCACCTCACTAATGAGAGTCTCGCCGAAAGAAAACTCGACGTCTGAGTAAAATAAATAACAAAATATATGCAAGACACCGTTTTTTAATATTGAAAACAACAGATTAAATGTCTACACGTTATTCCACTTGCTCTTACAAATAGGCAAAAAAAAATAAAAATCTAACTATCCCCAGACACAGGGGTGTACATCAAATTATAATTAAAACAATTATATACAGGCAAATGTACACAAAAAAATGTATATACAATCTTTTAATATATTAACTATTATTATATAGACGATTTATCTTAAACCTGGCAAAATAATACTGGAAGCTGAGCTGCTTAAGGGAGGAGTGATTAACGGATGGATCAGGTCAGGTCATGAGGTACAGACATAAATACATCTAATGAAAATACAGATAGGTAGTATTTCCGTAAAGTTGTTGGATCCCATTTTAGCAACACACACATTCACAGAAACGTTTTAGTTACACATAAACCTTCATGTCAGCCTGTTTGCTGTGAGATGTGGAGGATGAACGTGACGAATGGGGGCAGAATCCCGGTCAGCTCTCTGGCCGCAGTTTCACGGCGTGGTTCGTATCGTACGACTGGCCTGCTGTGTTGTGCTGCCTGTTCTTGGCGTTATTTCCAAAATAAAGAGAATATTTACAAAAGAAGTGAGTCTGTTAGCTGCCTTTACGTTCCAGCCAAAAAAGTCTCAAGCTGTGACACAGGTACCTGGCATCTGCAGATGGGGGTGTGGGTGGGGGGGGGGGCACAGGGTAATAATGCGAGACATTAATTTAGGACGAATGAGGGCATTTATCTCCGCACATGCAGCGGACGTGGAGGGCGGAAAGCCAGACATCCTACGGAAAATACCGGGGACAAGAGATGCAACCTCAAAAATCTATTCAAAACCCCCCCCTCCCCCCACCCCGGGTCTCCAAGCACTCCTCTGTCAAGTTGACTTCGCTTCCCTCAAAATTGACTGTTATTACAATAATAATTGCTATCGCTGTGTACTTTTTTAGGAAAGTATCAGAGCAAGGAGAAGGACGGCCAGCAGTGAGAGAGTGTGCGAGCTGCTCTCAGGAAGGGGGCCGGCCATGTTCGACAGTCTGGGGGTCCGGGGCGCGTTCTGCTTCAGCCTGCTTGGAGGTAGGGCTTTGAGGTCCTCTAGGGCTCCGTACGCCGCCATGGAGAACTCGGGGTCCCCCGTTGTAAGAAGGTCAAAGACGCAGGACTGGAAGTAGACATCCTCCACCTGCAGGATCTCCCGGCATTTGGCGGTAGCGAGTGCCACCGTGTAGGACTGGCGAGGTGGCAGGGCGGGGCCGGGGACGGCGGGCGTGGCGCTCCCCTGCAGCCGCGGGTGGGGGCTCTGCCGGCTCAGGGTGTGCTCCTTGATGAGCTCGCTCCGCGGGCAGCCGTGCAGGCAGAGCTGCAGCTCGCCGCTCTCCTCTGCGTAGTCCAGCATGTCCTCCGGCATGCGGACGGCGAAGGTCAGGTACCGCGCCACCTGCCGCACGATGATGGAAGTGCCGATGTGCCGCGCCTGGATCTGCACGTGGCGGCCGCCCGGCCCGGCCCGCTCCGCCATCCACAGGCTGCCCACCTCGCCTCCGCTCCGCGTGCCGTCCAGGAAGGCCACCGGAACGTCCTCGGTGGTGGCCTGATACACCTTCTGCTCTGTGCAGCCACGGAACGCCTTAAAGATCACAGTGATCTGTCAAAGGGAGAGAAGAGAAGTCACAGCTAATCCCAGGGGTGACTGTGACAAACACCTAGAAACCTCTGGCTGTTTCATATGTCTCATCATAATCCATTATTCTCATATTTAATTAAAAAAAACTTTACATGGCATTTATTCTTTATTGTTTCCAACGCAGCAAATGTGCCGCTTATTACTCGCATTAAAATATATCCCTTACATTCTCTTAAACATTAACATGTGGTTTCCGAAGTTCCGGACTTCCAATACTGCTTTGTACTCAATCATCTTAATTACCCAGACAGAAATCCTTTCGATAGGCTGCCGCTTAATGATGAGTAACTTATGATCAAAGTGAATCTCAGCCCCGTTTTTGTAGCACTCAGTTTTTTTATGCCACCCTTTCTGTCCAACCATCCTCTCATGGTTTTATTGGCTGCTGTAAAAACTATTAGTTATAAGATCAAAATCCAATAAGAGTTTTATAGTTACATTTGTGCTCGTAAAGGTTTGAATATGCCACCTTAACTCTGCTTCCTGTGGCTACCTCAAACGGCATGAATCAGTGTTCAAAGTGCTTAAAATTAATCTGTCATTAAGTGACTTAATTGTTCATTAAACAAACGATCATAATTCCATTAGGCAGTGCATTACTTTGTAAGGACTGGAAAATGAATTCTTTCAGCTTATCAGTACAAACACTCCACCAAACACACAAAATAAGTCTCACAAGAAACTTAAGTATGAAGGTTAAAAACCAAAGATAGATTTCAACTGACAGCTGAATCACACTTACTCAGATTTAATCACCATTACTTATTTTAGCCTCCTACAGAGCCAAGAGCCAACAAATGTACGCGTGCAGTACCCATTCCCACCACACGGCTGCAGAAGCATGTTTGGTGAAAACAAAGACCTCAAGGTACGATCACGCCTCCATTGGTCATGCTGGGAAAACGACTACACCCAGCCCGTAAGTCAGTAAGTCAGCTCGATGATTAAGGAATAATTAAGCAGCTGCTTAATGGCACAGAGGTATATCTTGTTCAGGTGTTGCTATTAATCTGTAATATATTATTATATTAAAGGTTAACTTAAAAGATGATTTATTAAAGAACTATGAAGCTAATTATTTATTTATAGAGACTATTCAACAAAGAAGCAGAGGAATTAAAAATACATCCGTGCCTTTTCTCTTAAGAGTAGAAAATCCCCAAGGATTGTCAGCTGTTAAGTACTTCTCCATGTTCTCTGCGTTTTTTTTACACTCCTCCAAACACAACAATACAATAACTCACTGCGTCCACCAGGGGGCGCCTTCTAAACATGCTACCTGACTACCATGTGGAAAGAATCACTAAGGTAATTAATTTCCAGATTTTACAAGCTGTTCTCAGTTGTCATTTGGGATTCTTAGGATTCCTTCCCAATTAGAGTATATTCCACTCCAGAGTATACTATTCCCTAATAAAGTAAACACCCACTATTTCTGTGTTTGCTGATAGTCTGAAATACTCAGTCAAGTTCACATTACAAAAACATGCATTTATGTTGGCCCAAACATGGACCTTTCCACAGTGACACAATACCACAATTCCTTCTTTTAATGTACCATGAACATGTCCATTATATAAGACACACACACAAACACCTATAAATCTACCATTGCACACTAACTCACTGGACACATTTTTCAAATGAAAATCTAGGACTTACATCCAAACATCCCAAAAACTACAAGCTCCTTCCTACTCAAACTCCAAGTCCTTTTTATAGAAATTTTATATGATCTCTCACAACAACGTAACATGCGATGCCCCGGGAACTATTTGTATACATTAGAAAAAGTGACAAACTTTTCTCCTTTCCATCTGCACAAAAGTAAAGCCCTGAAACGGTATGGCAATGAATCACTGCCGTGTTTTTCCTTCCCGGAGTTGTAAACGTGCACCGTAGCAACAAAACTGTATGTCATGAGTCTTGGGTCAACAGAGAGTCTTTCTGTGGAGGCATTGGCTAGGCAGGTAAATGGAAAAACCAGCCTGAACATACTGGTATGTAAATTTAAAGAGACAGGTGCTAAAAACTGAAAGAGTGCAACAAGTCATCCACTGATAAAGCATTTTTTTGAGTTTTGAGTTAAATTTTAAAGAGCTAGAACTTTTACATATATAAAAGATTGGCATTTACCAAGAAGACTAAATGCCAAGTAAACTTATAACCTTCCTTCAATTTATGCATTCCAACCAATGAAAAGAATGACAAATGATACGTCAGTATTGTGAAAAATGTATTCATTTACTGTCTCAAGTACATGGCATCAACCGATACATTCCTGCATTAAACCTTATACTGGAGAAAACTTACTGAATGCTTTAAGGTTTCTGGTGTGTAACACCATTGCCAGCTCCCAATCCAGGCCTCGGGGACCAACAGTCGGTGTATGTTTTCGTTTTTGCTCCCTCCCAGCTCCCTGCCAGACAGTCCACATTTTTGCTCCCTCCCAGCTCCCTGCCAGACAGTCCACATTTTTGCTCCCTCCCAGCT